GCCACGCGGGGCCCAGGCCCGTCTCCCCTCGGGACCCGGGAGCCGGCACCCCTCGACGGCCGGGAGCCCGCTACTACTCCCCGACCGACCCCCCAACGCAACGTCCCCCGAAAACTCCCCCCCGACGCCGTCCCGCCGCGCGAGCGCGGGGCACGGTACGGGAGGGGGCCACGGGAGAGTGGATGGGGGGCGACGGGGGGCGCGCGGGACCGGCCGCCGTGAGGCCGCTCCTCCGCCGACGGGACGAGCTCCCCGAAGCGGGCGCTCCGGGGCATCGGGTCTGCACTTAGGGGGACGAAGGCGTTGGGGAGAGCCACGGGCTCCCCTTCCCGAGGACGGGAAGGGGGGCGACGGACCGACACCCCGGTTGCCTGCGACACCCCAGCCGCGCCCTCCGCGGGGCGGGCGGCGGCGGCGGGCTCACCGACCGGGCCCTCCTCCGCCAGGGGAGGAGAGGCCCGCGTGGCCCGCGCCGCCACCGCATCCGCGGGGACGATTGACCTTCAAGCGACGCTCAGACAGGCGTAGCCCCGGGACGAACCCGGGGCCGCAAGTGCGTTCGAAGTGTCGATGATCAATGTGTCCTGCAATTCACATTAATTCTCGCAGCTAGCTGCGTTCTTCATCGACGCACGAGCCGAGTGATCCACCGCTAAGAGTTGTCACGAGGCTTTTTTTTCTGGGGTTTTTTTTTCCCCCGCGCGGCCAAAGCCATGCCGGCGGGGGGGGTTCCTTGTCCGCACCGGTCGGGTCCCCCGGCCTGCTGTCCCCGAAGGGGAGCACGGGGGGCGGGTCTCCGTGGCGGGAGGGAGCAGGGGGGGGCCCCCGCGGGTCCCTCTTTCTCCCGACGCCTCGGACCGCCCGCCCGTCCGTTCCCCCGGGACGTCCTGCCCGGCCGGGGCCGCCCTCCGCGGTGCCCGCCCTTCGTACGTTACGCTCACAGAGGGAAAAGGTTTAACAAACCGAGCCCGAAGGCTCGGGTTCGGTCCAGGCGCTTGGCTCGCAGGGGCCGGGTGGCCGCGGCCGCGTGCAGGCCGACCCCCCTGCCCCGGCCGCCACCGCGCCCCGCGCCCCGGGCCCTTTCCGCCCGCCCCGCGCCGAGAAAGCGCGGGCCGGGAGTCCGGGTGGGGGCGGGGAGGGTGGGGGGGGAGAGGAGACGGGCCAGACGGGCCCCGGCCTTTCGGCCCCGACGCGGAGAGGGAGGCAGGGTGGCCCCTCTCCGTCCTGGGCTTCCCGCGGACCGGGGGGGCTGGGGAGAGCCGGCGTGGGGGTACCGAGGGGGGCATGGGCGTCCTCAGACGTCCTTCCCTCCTCGGCGGTCCCCCTTCCGCCCTCCCCGGGGCCCCCTCGTGGGCGTCCGCGGGCCGCCTCAGGCCGCGCAAGTCTTTGAACCACCGCCTTCCCCGGGCCGCGCGGCTCGGGGAGAGCGCTAGGTACCTGGCTCCTGGGTGAGGGAAACGGTTCCGAACCCCTCTGGGGCGTCCCCCCCCCGCCGAGCCGCCAACCCCACCTTCCGGCCTCTCACCCTGTGGGGGGGTGGGTGGCAGGCCGGTCGGAGCGACAGACGGACGGACGGCACGCGGAGTGGTGCCCGGCACCCGCCAGCCGGCTCCGCGTGACCTCGGGGGGGCATCGTCCCAGAAGGCGCGCCGGGAAAAGCCGCTGCCACGGCCTCGCCCCCGCTTCCCAGGGATCCGGGGTTTCCCTCTGTTCCCGGCATGCCTGGGAGGGCAGACGTGACTGGGGCCACCGCCGTCTTTCCGCGTCCACCCCGCGTGCGCCCTCCCGGCCGCACGCCCCGACGACGGCGAGCTCCCCGTCCGGGGACGGTCGCCCACGGCCCGGTAACCCCCCCCCCCCGCCCCACACCCTGTCCTTTTACCCGCGCCGCCGAAGCGGCGCGGAGGACGGAGGGAGGGGGGGGGGGGGGGCCCAGCGACCGGGGGCGGACCGCACGGGCGGGCAGCGTCTCCGAAGAGGGCGGGCGGCTCGGGTACGCGCACGGAGGGGATGGTCGCGGCGACGGTGGCCCGGCAGCGGACCCGGCGCGGATGGAGGAGACCCCCTCCGCCGACCCCGGCCGGCCCCTCCCTCCCAGCCGCCTGGGAGGGGTGGGGCACGCAGAGCGCGGGGCTAGCGCGGAGGGGGCGCCCGGCACCCTCCCCGCGCCCGGGGCCCCGCCGCCGGGGTCCCATCCTGCACGCGGGGAGGCGTCCGAGGCCTCGGGGGGGCCCTGGGAGCTGCGACGCCGTCGGGGGACCCCGAGCCGGCCGACCGCAGCCCTCTGGCTCTCGGTAATGATCCTTCCGCAGGTTCACCTACGGAAACCTTGTTACGACTTTTACTTCCTCTAGATAGTCAAGTTCGACCGTCTTCTCGGCGCTCCACCAGGGCCGTGACCGACCCCGGCGGGGCCGATCCGAGGACCTCACTAAACCATCCAATCGGTAGTAGCGACGGGCGGTGTGTACAAAGGGCAGGGACTTAATCAACGCGAGCT